TCAACTCCTTTCTTATTTTAACTAAACAGCACCCTCAAGTACTGTCTACCCGCCAAAAGAACTAAAAACTTGACAAATTAAAATATTTTAAATAATACTTTAAGGTATCACTTTGTAGCTTGCATTATATGACTGAGTACACACACAAGTACCTAGAGAGAGAGTGAGATAGAAGCAGAACTTTAGCTCCATTTATTTCTTTTCTTTTTAGTTATTTGATAATGTAAAACTCTGCCCACTCACACTTTTTTTTTTTTTTAAAGTAGTAGTAGCAGTATTTGCATTCACTCCCATTTCTTTCTGGAAAGGGGATTCTCCATTTTCTAAAAATTACTTTAGAAAGAACCTAGTAAATTCTTTTCCAAACTAAGAAATTTCATTTGTTAGTCAGAAAAGGTGCTACCAGATTTCTTCTGATTTTTTTTTTATCCTAAAAATTACTTTGTAAGGGAAAATGTTACACGCACACACATATATTCTATCTTCGCAACATTTCTAGGTGCCTCCTATGCCCAAAGTGTGTTTTTTAAAATCCAAATCCAGTTCCTTTCAATCCTCTTTAAAACACCGTCACCAATATATTGCTAAAATGGCGGAAAGACCAAGAAGCATTGAACATTGAAGCGGTTGCGAACATTTGCTAAAACAAAAAAAAAAAGTTTCTCCCTGTCTCCCCTCCTCAAATTCTTTCCCCTGTAAGCAGTTCTGCTTGATTCGTTCCCTTTGTTAATATCCTGGACAAAACCTGAAGATTTGTCGGATTAACAGATCGCTCCACTTAACGCACGCCACATCTTCAGCCTGAAACAGAAGGAATGTTGGCTAGTTGGGGTAATTCGCCCCCCAGTATTGCTGCGGCGTGGTTTAACTTCTGACTTTAATCATTTTCCATCTCTCATTAAAACTTCACTTCCTCCCAACCGGGGTAAGCCAGCCTGACGGAGTTTGGAGGCCCTTTTGCGCCTCCCGCTATACACGGCAAGAGAGGATTCGCACAACTGCTTTTTGATTCGAAAACTGATTCGATTCTCCGCTTTTTAAATCCGAGGTCCGATTGAAGAAGCGGAGAATCCAGGGCGTTGGACGCCGTCCACCTTTGCGCACCCAGCCCTCCCCAAGGCGGCTGCTGTGGACCGCAGACAAAATCCCGCTTCCTTTCGCCTTGCGAAACCTCCCCGCGGGCCCTCTCTCAATTCATCCACCCCCTTCCCGTAGCGATTATGAAGAGGTTTTCAAAGCAAGCCTGCTCTTTTCCACGCCAGCGACACGATCTTTTAATGCCCTTTGTCTTCAGGGAGGGCTTTTGCCCACCCCCCACGACGAGTTGGAAGGGGGGGATCAAAATCACGCCAAGCTCCGCGGCTCTAGGCCTAGTGGCTTTCCCAAAACGCTTGTCAATCCCATGCTGGAAGGCCTGGTCAGTTTCAAAGCGCCCTTCCCCACCAGTTGAGCTGCCTTTGAGGTCTTACCTAGGTTATCTCTCCCCACCCAGGTCACCTTTAAAAAAATAAAAGCAGGGGAGGGGAGAGAATGTGGAAAAGAAAGCATTTCACTTTCTTTCTGCAATGCCAGCACTCATCTTCACCATCTCACTAAGTCTTGAACAATGTGAGGATCCGAGGGTCTCTCTGCCCAGAAAATGAGTGGATTTTCCCCCACCCGTAATAGTAGGACCCCCCAACTTTAATCTCCATCCTTCCCTGAAGCAGCCAAGTTTGCAGGATCTTATTGGGAGCACAAGGTCTGATAACTCCTGAAGCAATCGAGAATGTGGAAAAGAAAGCATTTCACTTTCTTTCTGCAATGCCAGCACTCATCTTCACCATCTCACTAAGTCTTGGACAATGTGAGGATCCGAGGGTCTCTCTGCCCAGAAAATGAGTGGATTTTCCCCCACCCGTAATAGTAGGACCCCCCAACTTTAATCTCCATCCTTCCCGGAAGCAGCCAAGTTTGCAGGATCTTATTGGGAGCACAAGGTCTGATAACTCCTGAAGCAATCAGAGTGGAGGATAAGGGAGGTTTGGCGGTTCTTCAGTTGGAAAGCAAAGAAGGAGTCGGCCGTCCCCCGAAGCCAACGAACGAAGTTGTCAGAAAGAAAGAAAGACATTTCTGTCTACAAGTGAGAGATCAAAAGGGCAACTGATTTCTCTGCACGGACCTGCCTCAGGGAGACCACGCTGAAAGCCCTATTTCTAAAGCTATTTTTAAAGACAGCACTAAAAAAGATCAACAGCTGGAAGGCCCAGCCGGAGACATGATTTTTGCCTATTAACGCGAGGCATTTAGCGGCCGAAAGAAAACTTTTGTAAACCGCCAGCCTGATTTCATGGGGAGAAAAGTTAAATAAGTGGGGCGGAAGGGTTCATCTGAGCGATCAGTTGTGGAGGGGATCAGCATCTTTATCAATAGGCACAGTCATCCTTAATTGTGGCTTTGCAAGGAGCGTTATTATTAGAAATATTATTAATACAATAATACAATTAATGTCATTAAAGGAACAGCCGAGACAAGGGCTGGTAACAAAACTAAGGGTTTTGACATTCCTGAAGCCCTTAAAATGGGTGTCCAAAGCAGAATAGTGCAACCATCAACAGTTCTGGTTGCCATGTCAAAAGGGACTGTTTCAGGTGTCCCGGGTCTCCTCGGCCACATTCATATGACATGCTTAACCAGGTTAGGGGAAAACCAAGCAGATACCTTCAGATGACACAGTAAATTTCGCTCACCTTCAGTGTGTTCTTTTGTTTATGTTTTGGTAGCTTCCTGTGTTGTGCAAACCCAGAACATAAGTCAATCTTGCAAGTCAGTTAAGTGTGTTGGGAGAAGGCAAACTCACATTCCCAGCAAATTGTGCTTGTATGGTGCACACATAAACATGAGGGTAGGAGGGCAGGGAAATAACACACACCCCCAAAAAAACCGGATTTACACCATCGTTTTATATCTTCAAAGAGAGTCTTCCATCAATAGCGTCTTGACGGATAAACCAACATAGGAAGATAAGACACCAATTTAAGCAGAAACTCAAAACTTAGTCACGCCTTCTTAGGATGTGGGATAGAGATTGCTGTTATGTAACAAATATCTGTTGTCTTTCCGAAACTCTAAGGAGAATTAAACTATAAGTTTCAACCCTATTTCTAAAGCCACTTGTTTTCACGTTTTAAAACTATGTCTTGTTTATTCGGCTACCCGAACAAGGAAATTAAGGCGAAAGAATAAATTCTCAATTATTAACCCCCACCAAATCCAGCTTCTTACGAAGAGGAGGGGAGATGATTCGTGTATATATATAGGACTTCAGTGAAGAGGCCTTCATTCTGCAGCGGATTGATCTGGGATAATAATAGTAATAATAGCAGCAAACAACAACAATATGCCTTTCCTCAAGGCATTTGCATAATATTTAGGCTGCAGCGCTATGAAAACCAAACGGAAGCGTGTCGTGATTGCAAGACGGTCTCTCGGTCACGGCCCCGCACCGCGGATCTTGCCGAATGGCCCTCCCGTGTCTACGGCTTCTAAGCAATATTGCTGCGAACAGCAGAGACACATGAATGCTTCGCGAGGCTCGGAGCAGCAGACGGTTGCGAGGACGGAGATCCGTCTACTCAGCCCCGTTCGCCCCTCTCCTTCCTAGTTTTTAGCGGGTGAAAGGCGAGGGGAGGCGGCGCGATTCTAAGGCTAACGGTGCGGAGGGGAAAGCGTCCTCCGCCTGGATATGTGCGCTTTGCTGCGGCAAATCCTCGTCCTTCTAGGCGCCCCTCGCAGAGCGCTTCAGCCTGGCGTCCCCCGCTTTGGTCTCCTCCCGCACTTTATGTCGGGCTTCTTGGGGAGTCAAAGCGCTAATTGAGCAACCTCGGGGAAAGCGGCGAGGTCGCAGGACTCTGCGCGCCGGGAGCTGCGCGGCTTTCCCTCCCTGGCACCGCCGCGTTGGCCCGCGACGCAGCTGGCTCGAGACCACCCCACGACCTTCCCTTCCCCGGCGATCCCTTTCTTCTCTCCTTCAGCTTCGTTTCTAAGCGGTCGCTTTT